AGTTAATATCTGCAAAGTAGTACTGAGTCTTTCAAATGTTATAAACCTAAAACTGTAGAAATCTCAGCATTAGAGGTGGACATAATAGATTTTTGTCTGAGAGAGGGAAAGAAGTGAGTGGGAGGGAGGACTGGAGCATGTGAAAAAATCATGATCGTTCAACTGAATAATCTTATAATTTAGGGGCGCCTGTGTGGCTCAGTTGGTTAAGCCTTGGACTCTTGATCTCGGCTCTGGTCATGATCTCAGTGTCATGAGATGGAGCTCTGTGTCGTCAGGCTCACGCTGGGCGTGGAGTCTGATTAAGACTGTTTCTCCCTCTGCCCCCTTCCCTGCCCCCCCACCCCGTGCACTCCCTCTCTCTCTTCTCTCAGAAAAAAAAAAAAAATCTTATAATTTAGCAGAAACATCTGGCCCTTTCACCATTGTCATCATGATGATGATTTATCAGAGAAACCCTCTGTGCTAATAACAACTAGTAAAATGTTGGGTCTGTAGGGGTGAGATTTTTCTTAAATTGTAAAACTGTGTTCCAGGAATCTTTGGGAAGTAGAACTTGTGAGCTTTAAAACTGATTTAGTTGTACAAGTTGATACATTTTTTAAAAACACCATTATGGGGCGCCTGGGTGGCTCAGTTGGTTAAGCGACTGCCTTCGGCTCAGGTCATGATCCTGGAGTCCCTGGATCGAGTCCCACATCGGGCTCCCTGCTTGGCAGGGAGTCTGCTTCTCCCTCTGACCCTCCCCCCTCTCATGTGCTCTCTCTCTCATTCTCTCTCTCTCAAATAAATAAATAAAATCTTAAAAAAAAAAAAACACCATTATGTGCAGGATAGAAACCAGGCAATAGTAGGAGGCAGCTACCTGTAAAAGAAATAAATGAAATGGTCACTTACCTTCCAACCTGTTAAGAATAGGCATACCTGGGGAGCCTGCATGACTCAGTTGGTCAAATGGCTGCCTTCCGCTCAGGTCATGATCTCAAGGGTCCTCAGATGGATGGAGCCCCATGGTGGGCTCCCTGCTCATTGGGGCGGTGGGGGGCTGCTTCTCCCTCTGCCCCTCCCCCCATTTGTGCTCTGTCTCTGTCTCTCAAATAAATAAATAAAATCTTTAAAAAAAAAGAATTGGCATAACTATAAGAAATCTGTTTCTGAAAATCTATCTATATCTATAACATCATTTGAAACAACAAAAAAAAAGAAATAACCCATATATGTTCACCAGCATGAAAATGGATCAGAAAATATTTACACGTACAATGGAATATTACCTCATAATTCAGCAGCCAAAAGGATAAACTATAGCTGCACACTACAATGTGGATGAATCTTTAAAAATGCAATGTTAAGTGAAAGGCTTTCATACAGCATGAAACCCTTTCTATAAAGTGAAAAGAAGATGAAGCTAAATATATTGTTTAGGTATCCATATATTCATAATAATATTTTTAAAGTAAGGTAATAATTTACACAAAATTCAGAAGTAATTGCCTCAAAAATGGAGGCAGGAATTCAGAAGAAAGAAGGAGTACAACATTTTAAGTTGTTGGCTCATTTCATCAGTTGGGCGATGGTTTCATGGATATTGGTTCTATTTTTTAAGAATTAAAATTATACATTGAGGGGCGCCTGTTTGGCTCAATCGTTAAGTGTCTGCCTTTGGCTCAGGTCATGGTCCCAGGGTCCTGGGATCGAGCCCCGCATCGGGGTCCCCGCTCAGCGGGAAGCCTGCTTCTCCCTCTCCCACTCCCCCTGCTTGTGTTCCCTCTCTCGCTGTGTCCCTGTCTGTCAAATAAATAAATAAAACCTTAAAAAAAAATTATACATTGAAGTTAGCTATTTGAAGAAGTTCTGGAGTAAGTCATTTTAGAAATTCCCACCTTCATTTATCTTTTCACACTACTGAATGTATCCAGTGTTCTTATATATGCCCAACTAAGTTAATGGATGAGGAGGAAACTTGTTAAGGTGGTTATTTCCAGCTCTTTTCCTCAGAGTGGAGGTATAGTAAGTAGTATATCCTTCACGGTGATCAGGAAGAATGTGGTTGCAGCACGCAGCAGGAAAGATCCGTGCTCGGTTCTCAGTTTCTCAGAAAATACTTATAAACCTAACTAGAATGTATAAGAGTAAGTGGAATATATGGTTTGTGAAGTGTGAAAGTTAATAAAAATTTCCTCTTCCTCGAATCTTAAATTGAAATTCATATTTGGGAAACTTTATAGGGATGTTGCCTGTGTTATTTTGGTTTTGCTTTTCGTTTTGTTTTTATTTTCCCTAATTAAAATTTAATCCTGGGCGCCTGGGTGGCTCAGTTGGTTAAGCAACTGCCTTCGGCTCAGGTCATGATCCTGGAGTCCCGGGATCGAGTCCCGCATCGGGCTCCCTGCTCGGCAGGGAGTCTGCTTCTCCCTCTCCCACTCCCCGTTTGTGTTCCCTCTCTCGCTGTGTCTTTCTCTGTCAAATAAATAAATAAAATCTTAAAAAAAAAAAAACAAAATTTAATCCTTGGGTTGGCATGCTGACATTTCAAGGTATGAAAGAAAACATGGACTTTGGTTTGGGGACATTAAGACAGATCTTGGGGAGCGCCTGGGGGGCACAGTTGGGTAAGCATCTGACTCTTAATTTTGGCTCAGGTCATGATCTTAGGGTTGTGAGATTGAGCCCGACATGGCGGGCTCAGTCCCGAACGTACAGCCTGTGTGGGAATCTCTCCTTCCGCCCTCTCTCTACCCCCGCCCCCCCAAAGGCAGATCTTGAAATTCCAGATATGCTGCTTGCTAGTTGTGTGATCTTGGGCCAGTGACTTGGCTCGACTTTGGTTTTTTTGTATGTAAAGCGGAGATACCAATATCTGCTTTGCAAGATTCTTGTGAGGATTTGATACAGTATTTATAAAGCTCCTAAAGGAAAATAAGAGAGTTAATAAATGATAGGTACCTTAAGTCATAATTTTTCCACATTGTATAACAGGGACATTGAGCATGACAAATCATTCTTTTTCTTATAATAGTAGCTGAGTAAATATTCTTAAAAGGAATGTGACTTCTGACTTTGACATGTGAATCTCATTTGCTTTGGATCAATTTTAATGTGGAAAATTTGAGCTGTGTAAGCAGCTAGAACCTAGTATTATTCAGATCATCACCTTGGATTTGAATTTCACCTAAGCCTGTTAGTTCTGTTTTAGGGCCACAGACTATACCTCAGTCCTCCTCGCAACTACCTTATAAATATGTGCCTTTATTCACAGGTAGGATTGAATGAGAAAAAAGTTCCAAGGCTTGTCTCACTGATGACTTAATGTTACCTTTACATTCTAAGCTAATATTTACCTAGTAAAGACCCAAATGTAAAAACAGTGCTAAACGATGTTTAGAATTATTTTTATTGGTTTACAAATAGTGCCTGTTTTCATAGTAAATTCATTGCTTGTGAACAATGAGTAACTGTTCAAACTGAAGATTCAAGGGTGTTTACCTGCAAGCAGGTTTGCCTTAGAGGGTGGAAATACAGGTTTTCCTGCTCACTCACGGTTCTTATTTCTGAAATGACTGCTAATACCTCCTCAAACTGACAAATAAGGGAAACTCAAGGCTAGCTCCTGCAGGAGGGTTTTTCCCTCCCTTTGGGCTTCCCTCCTGGTGTCTTCTACTTGGAGAGAAGAACCTTTGGAAGGAGTATTATTAACCAGGTTTCTCTGCTTATTGACCTAGGTGTTGTTATGCTGGTGTGTTGTAATCAATCCCTATCTGTTCAGGGTTAGTAAATGCTTCTTGGCTGGTTGGTAAAAAGATTGTCATGGTTTGTGACAGGCTCAATTCAGGTATTGGTGGACCCAGGAAATCTCAAAGCATTCAGATTTCTTTTTTGTTTTCACCATTCTATATTTTAAGAATGTATCAGTGACTTACAGTCTTGGTGCCGATGTACAAATAGGCAGGGCTCTTTGGCATTGTGATTCCAGGAACTATTCAGTGTAAGTTTCATTTAAAGGTTTTAATGACTGCTTATAAGGTTTTGAAGTATTGCATAGCTTAAGGTTTTAATGTATAAGATGGAAATGTATATGGCTAGAAAGGAATCAACCTGTAATTAAATGTGAATGGGTTAAATGAAGGCTTGTGTTCAGTATTTGGATACATAAATTCTGCCTCCTTGAAGAGGTGATCTTGTCTTACTGCTGCATGTCCAGTGCCTGGATTGCTGCCTGGCATGTGGAATACTCTTAGTGAATATTTACTGAGTGAATAAATGAATGAATGAATAGCTCTGGGTCCAGATGTAGGAGAATGGTGGAAGAGATTTAAATAGAAATGAATAAACCTGGGATATTTTGTTTTCCTTAATAACTTGCTAATTTTCTTCCTAATTGTAAATAATCATATATGTATATGCATTTTGACATTGTACCAGCTTGCTTTCCCTCTGCCACTTTGAGAAATGCCTGTTTATCTAGAGTCTGGTTCTTAGCATTTTTTTCTTTGAGCTCAGTCTCAAATTAGGATGAATCATTTATGAAATTTTAATATTATATTTAAATGTTACATAGCATGCATATGTATTGTATATAAAATATAATTATAATACAGAGAATTTTTTTTTTAGTTCTCAGAAATCAAGGTATCCTTCTAACTAGGAAATCCCTAGAATGAGAGACTTTTAAAAATAAACATAGTTTTATCTTCTGATTAGAAACATAATACATACTTTATGCAGAAACTTGGTAAATACAGCAACATCAAAAGGGGGGGGGTTGCCATTAATTGGAAAGGATTTTGCTTTTTTACCGTCAAGTTTTTTTCTTGCACTTCTGTCCAGTCTAGAAAGTCAGGTTTTTTACCTTGGGGAAGGAAATTATAAATGCCTAAGAGTATGATATTTAACTTGAAAATCTGTTTTTGCTTTTTCTTAAAACACCACCTTTAGCGGAGTAAAGAATTTTAATAGCTAGGTATATGAGGGTAAAGATTAGAGGTGAATTATGTGCTTGTTAAATTCATCTGTCTCTTTTATCATCTCTCCTGTGGAGTATTACCCAGTGTTAATTGTCTTCCTATTATCCAGCCCTTTTATCCCAGAGTGAGGGAATTGATGAGGATATGTGCATTGTGTTATGTCTGATCACAGTTTGACTAGCACAGTCTGGAAGTGGGTTGTACAGGATGAGAGCAGCAGCCTAATTGCTCTCCCTGCATCAGCAGCATCTATAAAGCATCCTGGGAATTGCTCGCCCCATGTTCAGAGCAGCTGGTCACATGAGCCTGGATTTTCAGTTCAGTTCATTAGTCAGCCATTTTGGTCAACACCCTGCTTACTGCGCACAACCAATCCTATTAGAACTCAGCATCCCGGCTCATCTGAGCAGATCCTGGAAGTGATTTCTGCAGTTCAGGATTTTTTTTAAGCTAAATTGAAAATATTGGTTTATTTTTCAGGGTTGTTTTTTTTTTGTTTTTTTGTTTTGTTTTGTTTTGTTTTTTTCCTGCACAAAGGAGGATTTTTCACTTACTCATGCAGAGGCCAGTTTTTTAAAGCCAGCTAAGGTGGCATCAGCTGTGCAGGATTTAAAGCCGATAGCTCAGCTGAAAAAGGAGGGGGTAGGGAAGAGAAGATAAAAGGAGAGAAGCTAGGAGAAGACCAGGCATCATCTTATTTTGCTATGTGGTAGGAACTATCTATGAGAAAAGATAGTATTAAATTGTTTATCTTGAGCAATTGCTTCTTAAACCGTAGGCATTTTTCCTTGTGATTTGTTTTCATCTCCCCCACCCCTTTTCTTGAGAGCTTTGTTCCAGAGCTTTGGATTTGGGGTTTTTTGGTGAGGAGGTTTTATTTATTTTTGTTGGGGTGAGTGTGTGTGTGAGTGTGTGTGTGTGAGTGTGTGTTGTGGTCCCAGCTGAGTCATCATGTCTGCTCTGACGCCTCCAACCGATATGCCAACCCCCACCACTGACAAGATCACACAGGCTGCCATGGAGACCATCTACCTTTGCAAATTCCGAGTGTCTATGGACGGAGAATGGCTCTGCCTGCGAGAGCTGGATGACATCTCACTTACACCTGACCCAGAGCCTACCCATGAAGGTATGGTCAGACCCTATCCACTAGTATCTCACCAGCGTCCTCATTGTTACAGTAGGCTGGGAGGGTCAGGGAGAGGTAGGAAGAACCCATAACTCTAACCTGTTAGCAACCATGAAAATCTTTCATCCTTACCTACTACCCAGTTGCCCTTCTGTACTTTCGGGGGAAAAAATATTTTTTCTCTGCCCCCTGAGGTATCCTTTCAGAAGATGCTGATGCCTATTTAGAGCTCTTTGTCTTTATGCCTTCTAAAAAGAACATTTGAGGTCACTTACCACATTTGGCCCTAATCAATAATGAAGAAGCTATTAGTATTGATTATATACTAAAATATTATGGAAATTGCAGTAATTCTTAATAGAGTAAGTTAAGACAGCAAGACTGTAGGATTGTGCATGACATAGTTGAAACATTCGGTGTTTTACCAAGGGGCATCAGAGTATAATGTTAAGCAGGCTATGATATCTAGAAAATATTTGGTCAGACATTATCTGTTTTTAATAATATGGACTATAGATGAGAAAGCGGTTTTACATTCAGTGCTTTTTGAATGAATATGGACGCTTAAAAAAGGATAATGCCTTAAAAGGTTAAACATGATTAATAAGGTAATCCCTTCCCATGGAATCTATTGGCCATTGCTTTTTATAAGTTATTTGTGGTAACTGTGATGACCCATTTGAAATTTCCACAGTCAATACCTTTGAGACTTTTGTGGTCGCTTACTTAACTTGTGACTTTCTCCTGGAACCTTTTCTAAATTATCAGAGGTTTTCAGTTTATACCCCTTAATTCTCCTAACTCAATACCATAAGGAAGAGAATTAGTTTGAGTCCTAGATGCAAATATTTTTGTTTTTTATGGAGTGGCCTCTTAGCTAGTGTTTATTCTCTAGCTTTAAAATAATGACAGAAATGCTCACAAATGAGAAATTCTTTATCAACATCTGCCTGGTATTTAGGCATATTTCCAGAATAGAGACCTTAAGGTGAGCTGCACATAGCAGATTGGGTTTGGGAAAAGTGATTCCTTGCCCTTGACCTTATATTGCAATCTTACCATGACTCAGATCTCACCCTTTATTCTGAAAAGGATTTTATTTTCCCAGTTGGGCTTAGCCTTGAGAAAGTTTTAGAGCGGATTAATATCTCAGAACACAAAGTATTCATTTTGGTGTGTCTTTAAGTCGTTTTTAAAACCCTTTGCATCCTTTAACAATTGGTTTGTCAACTGGGCAGCTTCCTGTGGCTCTAAGTCTCAGAATCAGAACATGCACAAGGATTGGAAGACATCAGCTGGAATTCCATAGAATGCCAGTATTGTTTAAAACAGCCTCCAAAGGTTTAAGAATCTTGAGGGAAGAAAAACACATTTTTAGAAGGCTACCAAGAAGTCTTTTAGCAAATGCCTCAATTTGCATACTTGGTTTTCAAAAATATTCTCATCCATATTGAAAGTAATGCAATATGAAATACACCTTTAATTATAAAACCTAGTATATCAGTGTCTGAAAAATAATTTTTAACAATTTTAGTACTTTGACTATGTATTTGTTTCTAGAACAAGATTCCTTTGAGCAAAAGTGAGCTGTTCGGTTCATGTAAGCATTTGTAGTGGTGCTGTATGAATCCTTCAAGGGGCAATCTGTGATGGAAAATGTACGTGGCCTGCAACCTAAGCTCTAGGTGGCACATCCTTTGATTAAGGAAAATAGACAAATAGGGAGTTCCCAACACCTTAGAACCAACTATAGAGGGTGTGGAGGAAAATAGGGAAATGCTGTCATTGAATTTTGGAATTTTGCCTTAAATTGGGCAAGAGAAACAACAATTTCAAATGATTAGAAATGGAAATAATAAAAGAAAGTCCAGGCCCAGGAAGGCGTCTGTAGGTTTAGTGATCTAGGAAACAAGGTGGTGCTTTACAGGGCTTTTATTTCCTTGCTCTACTAGCTAACTCAGAATGTCTGAACAGTCATTTGGACTCAGGAAATGTCTGCTTTAATATTAATACCAGTGATAATTATTTAGGTATAATTTAGCTATCGCCAGGCCAGTGATAATGTGAATCTCACCTTGTTGACAAAATGGAGCACCTGGTGCCTGGACACACAGGAGTATTCATACTGTACTTCCCAGCTGACTCATAGAGGGAAAGATATCTGACCACACAACTCCTGCAATGAGGCATCCTGACTCCCACAAGAGAAAATGGGCAAAAAGCATCATATACCCTTGTAAGACGATAATATAGATTGTGTGTGCCCTCAGCAATAGAAGCTTTGCAGTTTCCAACTTTTGTTTTCTAAAAACAGAGCTCCCACCTCTCACTCTGCAGCCTAAAGTATAGGCCTAGACCTAGAGTTTCTGCCTAGCTTGACCCTTAAATACATGGGAATAGAAGCATTCATTTCATTATTCCAGTGCTTATTGGTAGTTAAGGAGGTGATCTCTCGGTACACTTTTTTTATTTTTTTTTTAAGATTTTATTTATTATTTGTCAGTGAGAGAGAACACAAGCAGCAGGCAGAGGGAGAAGCAGGCTCCCCACTGAGCAGGGAGCCCAATGCAGGGCTCAACCCCAGAACCCTGGGATCATGACCTGAGCCGAAGGCAGATGCTTAACCAACTGAACCACCCAGGCATCCCACAGTATACTTTTTTCCCCCAGTACACTTTTTTTAAAACCAGGAGGAAATCTACAAATCTATGATTGTAAGTAGATTTCCCCTAAAGACAAGAGCCTAGGATTGATTCCACAGGAGAGGAGAGGGTTCCGAAAAGGGCTTCGTTCAATGAGTGAAACTGGGCTGGACACTGTACATAACTAGGCGATCATCAGGCAGACGTGGGGTGAAGGGGGGACAATTCCAGGAGTACCTGGTGAGCTGGCTGAGCTGGAGAATAGCAAGTAGTTAGGAGCGGTAACTATCTCATTGTAGGTTAGGAGGATTAAGTGAGATAATTAATGAAAAACACCCTATAAACGTTAGTTATGTGTGTAATAGTTATTCATGGAGCCACAGTTTGAGCCACACCACATTCTTAAATACATTACCAATTTAATGTATATTTCTGTTTTTTATAGCTAACTTTTTGGAGCAGGCTAAACTAGTTGTTTACCAGACAGACTAAAGTAATAGTAAGTAAGCTTAAATTCACGTTTTAGCATTGTCCTTTCTTGGACCTCCATAACCAAAAAATAATTGGTTAAAAATATAAGTCAGTTATCAAGCAATACTTATTTTCCTAGTAACCTTTTAAAGAATGGGAATCCGACGTTGAGAGACAATGCACACAGATGATCAATTTAATACAATAAAATATACCATCTGGTTACAAAGACAGCTATAGGCTTTGAAGTTACTTTTTTGACTTGGGAAACTTCCTTTTCAAATACAGATAAGAAGAGACAGACTGTGGAAGAAGAGATCTATTGGGCAGACACGGTGATTTCCAGGTTACTGTAGAGAACTGTATGTGATGGTGGACTTCATACGTGCCATTACTGCATAACTGTGCAGTGTCCCTGGTACTTGCAGTTTGCTTTAGTACTAGTTCATTACAAGAGCTGGCATTTTACTGTAATGTATGAAGAGAGAGCTTATCTGAAACATCTGCAAGTGTAGTAATGATGCTGCTTTATATGCGAGGATGTGTTTTGGTCAGTCTGTTGGTAGAAATATTTACTGGACATCCCTCCATGCAAAGTCCAGTTCTGGGGACTAAGAAATTGATAGCCCTTCACATTTCCTAGAGGACAGTCTGGGTACAAATTATGGATGCAGATTTGTGATCAGGTTTTTCCATTCAATAGGAAATACTTTACGCTTAAGATATAATGGGGAATACTCTACTGATAAGATAAAAATAAGCAAGGAAAAAATAGATGTAATGGAAAGTGTTATTCAGTGACTATGGGAAATGTCTGGTGCTGAGATAACCCCATTGACATTTACTAATGTACTTTTACTCATTAATATTACTGCACCCTAGTATAACCCTATCCTGCTTGGGGAACTTCATAATGTTTTCATGTAAAAAGTGCATGTCCCAATGGGCATTTTGGCAGGGGAAGCCAAATGGCTATTTACCAAGAAACTTCATAGCATGAATTCACTATAGTCTAGTGCAGGGCTGGGCGCCTGGGTAGCTCAGTTGGTTTAAGCTACTGCCTTCGGCTCAGGTCATGATCCTGGAGTCCCAGGATTGAGTCCCACATCAGGCTCCCTGCTCAGTGGGGAGTCAGCTTCTCCCCTCTGAGTCTCTCCCCTCTCTTTCTCTCTCTCAAATAAATAAATAAAATCTTTAAAAAAAAAAAAAAAAAAAAAAAGCCTAGTGTAGGGCTTCTAAACCTGGGATCCTTGATCCTAAAAATCATACATAAAATTTTATATCTGTATATTTTTTTTCTGGAAGAAAAATCCTTAGTGTCCATTAGAACCCCCCAAAGGAAAAAAATAATACTTAAACTCAGTTTTATCATACAAACTCTTGGTCCTTCATTCAGCATACATTTAAGTATCCTACTTAGAATTTATGCACCATACTACAGTAGGTCGTAAGGTACAGCATAGTGAACAAGTCCAGTCCTCTGTATTTTCTGGACTTATTGGCAAGTGGGGGTGTGGAGTGGGGTACTTCAAGTGAAATAATAGTCATTGCAGTACAGTGGTACAGAGTAAAAAATCTTATTCCAGGGAAGATTCCCAATTGAAGTAATGTTTGAGGTAAGACCTAAAATGTATACAGGAGTTATCTGGGCATAAAGTGGAGGCAAAGGGGAATTGGGGGAGTGGGAGTGGTGAGGAGATAGTACTTTCAGAGACCCAAATGCCAGAACTGAAAGATTATCAGTATATATTTTTAGCCACTTTCCAAATTTCCTTTCCATGTAATTTTCACCTCTTTAACCAGAAATATTAATAAAGCCACATGCTCTACTAGTAACAGAATGTTAGCGGTAGTGATGAAATAGATTTTTTTTCTCTTCTGATTGTG